TGATCGGTCTGCATCAGATCATAAAATGCATAACTACCATACCTTGAATTAAGACTACCCAGCTGGATCCAATAATTAATCAGATTTATTTATTGAACTAACCAAATTAAAAAAAATGGCAATTCTGAAAGGAAATGAAAATGGAACTGCAATAAGAAAAGACGCCAAATAGGAAATCACTTAATTGCACATCACTATTAATATTCATCATATTTAAAACAAATAGATATATTGAAAAATAATTCTTGCATCAAAAGGCGAAATCAAATAACCCAACAAGTTTTGATTTAGAAACGGTCCGTTAGAGTAGCGGATCTGGGCTTGGTGCTCGTAATAAACCAATTCTCGTTGGAGTTGAAATTTTCGCACTGTTGCTGCTAGTACTCGATCCTAACAAAATGGGGAAATCTCACACATATATAATATTGTAGGGTTTGATGAAATTGCTCTTTCAAAATTTCCTCTTCCATGTGAATATTGCAATTCATCACCAACAAACAAATTAAGCCATGTAAAACTATGGTCCCCTCTTGCTACTAGTTTCCTACGTACATTTGTCTTGCCCCCCCCCCCCCCTCTTGTAAGATGCCTTCTCACTTATGCCACTCACTCACACACACACACACACAATCAACGCTCGTAAATAATCCACGCAACGCTCGATCCGACGGACCTCCTTGGATCCAAAATATTCGAGTTTTTCTATTTAATTGACGCCGCATAATTTGTTACGTGTATTACGTACGTGTATGCGCATCACACAATTATTTGTTGCATATACCGACAATAATTTAATTCATTTTTCGTGAAGATGGCTCTATAAATGTACCCTTAATTCAATACAATATACCGTGCATATATATTATTGTCTGCAGGTTCTTTCATTTAAAAAAAGAATTGTATCAATAAGGTAAACATACATCAAAATGATTAAACTCAAATATTTCTCGAGATTATATCAAAATGAAAACAAAATCACACATAACTAATTCCAACCCTAAAGTTAAATAACTCTCCAACAAAAATATAGAAACTTTCTCACTTATACACCTCTCTAAATTTTATTTTTCTCGATATTGGATAAACTCGACTCTCGTGCAATAACCCACAAACAGTATACCGTAATTAGGTGTAAATTAAAATCTGCATGGTGGAGGCGGTGGCGTGACAATATTCAATTTAATTTGCATATATATATAATATAAACAGGGGGACCATTTAATATTTTTTGTTGTTATTACTATATGGCTTTCCATAGCTTTTCCTTCACCTATTCTCTTATCTTTTTATCCACTAAAATACATTTTAATTCCCATTCAATTTCATCTTCTTCTCTTCTTCTTCTACACCTCTATTTATACCACATATATTCCCACTCTCCTTCACTACAGCAAAAAAAGAAAGAAAGAAAACAAACCCTTTTGGAATTCTTGAAAAAAGAATTAATTTTTTTTATTTTTTTGGTGTGTGTGGTGGTAAGATTCAACATGCTACAGTATTTGTTGAAGCTGCCAGCATGATCTAAATTTTCCTACAATTGTTTAAGGAAAGATTGGATCATGTGGGAGCTTCACCCGATGCTGTTTGCACGAAGAAACCCTAATTTCTTTTTATTTTTTTTTCAAGAACCCTATTTTTCTGATTCATCCGTTAATTAAACTTTGCTCTAGCTAGGGTTTCTCCTCTTGGGATAAAAAGCGCACGTGTGAATTGGGATTCTTGGTTTATTTATTTATGTGCTTTAGTTTTTGTCTGAATTTCATTTTTTCATGTGCAGATGTGTGGTTTCAAGATTATGGTTTTACTCCATTTCTGTGTAAGAGCATAAAGTCTGATGTATTGGGATTTTCCTTTTTTTTTTTCTTTTTTTCTTTTTTAATGCTTAGACTCTCCCTAAATTGGTAAATTAAATTATGTGTTCTTTAATTTACTAACATGAATACACATGTTCTATATTATTTTATGACAATCTGATGAACAGTTTTAAAAAAAATCACTATGATTTGAGACGCGAATCGTTCGAATTGGAAATTAAAATTTAATTTACGGAGACCGGTTTAATTTAATGCTTCGCAAAATACGAATCTTGTTTTCGGTGCTGCTGCTGCTGCTACTGAAGATTTGTTTAGCTAATTAGTCCTTATCGAGTACTCATCGGAATAAATCGACTCATTTACAATCGAATCGTCCATGTATTATTTGCTAGTGCAATTTTTTTTCTAGGATAATAACAATAGTAATAGAAATTAAATGAAAGAAAAAAAACTGAAGAAAAATAAGTTCAAATTGGATTAATTCTTGTTAATTCCAAAAAAAATATATATATATATATATATATATATATATATATATATATATTGACTTTATGTTTGACAGGAATTATTCGAATGTAGTAGTAATTATAATTATTGAAAATGTAATTAATAGTAGTAGCTATACTTCATCTGTTGCACTCATGAATTCTGTACAGAAGTCAGTGTATATATATATATACCTATAGCCTTTTTCTTCCATACTAGGATTTTGGCTATTTACCAGACCCTTTGTCTGAATATGTACATTGAAACAGCCTATTCATCTTCACCAAAATCTGACTACTTCTTACAATATTGTAATTATCTTTTTGTCACTCCCAAAAAATATTTAAAAATATATATGTATATATATATATATATATATATATATATATACAAATTTTGTCTCATATATCTTTATGTGTTAATTAGTAACAACCTAATAAGCATCTTCATCTGTTTTTTATTTTGGCTTCATTTGTAGTAGAAAGGTTACAGCCAGTGTCATAACCCTGACATAACACCCCCACACCATATATATATATATATATTGTAAAGTTTTTATAAATTTTTGGGTAAATTAAAAAAAAAAAAACTTGAACTTAGACTAAATAATAAAAAAAACCCCACCTGTAACTGTGAGGGGTCGGTGTAAGAAGAAAACAAAATTCAAGGGGTTTTTGGTAATTACAAATAGATGGGGTGTTTTTTGTTATTTAGCCTAAGTTCAGGGGTTTTCGTAATTTACCCTAATTTTTTTAAGTAGAGACAACATACAATTATACAATTATACGAATATATATGAGTGTGTGTGTGTGTGTGTGTATATATGTGTGTGTGTGTGTGTATATATATATATATATGTGTGTGTGTGTGTGTGTGAATAGTACTGAATCTGGGCCATATTTCTGTTAGAAAAGCTTCAATTTAGGGCAAGAAAAATGATATCTTTTGCAACAAGAAGTGAGCAAGTTATATGAAATAATGTCAAATGATTCTCCAACCATTTTTGGATTCTTGTTTGTCGACTCAATCTCCTATTGATTTTATTACTTTTGCATTTAAGGAATTGATTGATACCCTGAAGTGACATCCACCTATACTTTTGTTCTTTCTTTTATTTTTGTTTTTATTTTATTTTTCTCAATTTTCTAATAAACATTTACTTAAATTTCACTCGGGAAGTTCACCGATCGAACTGTAAATCAAAAAAAAATCGATACGTGTCAAATACCAAATCAAAAATTCGGTTCCATATTCATTAAAAAAAAAGGTTTGAATTCCAGTATTCGGTATTGATGTCCGGTATACCATAGAGGTGTAGAGTACTGAATACCGAAGTATTTAATATTTTTTTCTATTATTTTAAATCCTTTAAGATTATAAGAGATTATAAAATACTTATTAATTGATAAATTTTTCCATTACTCATAAATTTGCCTCTATTGATAATCACTTTTTATTTTTAAGGCCGATTATTGAATTTGAATGCCGAATTCAATTAATTGGTTTAAAAAAATTACCTTTATTAAAATAAGAAAATATATTTTCGATTTCTCAGGTACCAACCCAAAAAACCGAATTAATTCGGTAAAAAGCCATACCGAACCGAATAGTTCAGTTCAATAAACTATACAATTATTTGAAGTACCGAAATTTCGATATGATTTGGTACGATTTTACCAAATGAACACCCCTGCAGTTATATTCATCAGTGTGAAATTTTCAGAAAACAAGATGAAGGGAAAAGATCAGAAAATACATTTTTCCATAACTTAATACTAGAAAAATATACTTTCAAGTAAATTATACTACCTGTTAAATTGAAGAGAATTATTTCATGAAAAATGTAGTTTTGGCCCCTCAAGTTTGTACTAATTTCACATTTTGCTCGCCATGTTCACAAAAAATACATTTGGTCCCTCATATTTAAAAAAATCAATACTTTTAGCTATTTCCGTCAATTTTTCGTTAGTACTGACGAAATCAAGCGTTTTTCCATCACTCCCTTAACTGGCAGAGTAACGTTAAACCGACAAAAAATGATCGGAAGTATTAAATTGTTGAAACAGGAGGAACTAAATGTGTTTTTTTTAAACATAGAGGATCAAATGTGAAATAAGTGCAAACTTAAGGGGTGAAAATTGTAATATAGGCTAATTATTTTTGTGTGCATATTGTGAGGAATAAGAGTTGCTAGTACAAGTCCATTTAAAGATGGGCTTTTTTACAAGTGTAATAAATAATAATATCTATCTTCATCCTAAAATAATTTCTTATTCCGATTGCCTTATGCCGAAAGCCGAAATTGGGCTCCTTCGACCCGATCTTCTGTTGGCACGTGTCATTTTTATATTCACTCACCTTAATGAGCGAATATATTATAAAATACAAAAAAAGACACATGGCAACAAAAGACACACCTGATGTAAGGTCGAAGAAGTCCTAAAGCTGTAAGCGTCGTTTGACTAAACTTATAAACTGTTAATAACAACATATATGATGTTTAATAGCTTATAAGTTCGTCTAAATTGTCATGTAATTCTTTTTTAAATATCTAAAAAATTCCAAAAATAAACTGTTCTTGGATCCAAAAAATATAAAAACCGGTGTTGTTGCTCCGGGTGATGTATGGGCTCCTTAATCCGAACCACATTATCTCTGCGTAAATTTTCTTTGTCGATTTTTCTCGCAACTATAATATTATTCCTAGTCAATTATAGATCCAAAATTAAACTAATGAAAGCTAGGCAAACTTTTTACATCATTTAATTTATCTAAATTAAAGTTCAAAATTACCATAGGAAGCTGCATTTATAATCAAACATATACAAACAAAGGCCCTTCCACACATGCTAAGAAAACCCTAATTTGCCATTTTGTTTCAACAATAAAACATTACTCTTTTTACATTTTCTTTGAGAGCCGGTAAAGGACGCACACCCGTTTCTCCCGCCACTCTTCCCACCTTGCCACCACCGCCGCCGCTGCCACTTTCCGGCAAGTCCGGTTCCAAATAGAATCTCGCCCGGAATGCAGCCAAATGTGCATAGTAAGCTGGGGGAACTGTGTCAAAATAAATAAATAATCAAGTAATGTTTTAATGTAAAAGAATTACGAAAATCGTCCTTTTAATTTGCGAAACATTGTCGATATTAACAATTGAATAACGTTAAATTGATTGCACTAAAAAATATAATAATTTTGTCCGATTATTGAACTTTATCTCGACTTACCAACTGAAACGGAGCGTGTACACCTGGCATATGTATAACATAGATTGTTTGTCAGTGACTGAATTCCGTCGGCAGTGAAATTGTTCTCGTCCCAGAGTACATGGTAGTGAGCAGGTCGACTCGTGCCCTACAAAATTAAAAATAAATGTATTATATACGAAATAAAATCTTACATGAATTTTCAAAATAGGTGTATATATATATATAATTATATACGTACAGGAGTTTTACCTGAATT